TATGAAGTAGAACTCAGAAAGTAAAACTTTTATATCTTTACAGAAATTTTTTGGTTACTATAATTTAAAACTAAAAATAATTAAAGAGAATAGTATAATGTGTATACATAATCAAAACTAAATACATAATAATTTGGTTTCATCGTTTTTGTAGTTCCATATTCAACTATAACATTTAGAGAATTAAACCTTTTTAGATCATGAAATAATTTGACAATTGATTATAATGTAGTTTTGAATAATAAACTAATAACGTTTTTCTATAAAAAAACTAAAAAATCATGTGCGCTTGAAGATATTTACAAATATTTTAAATCCAAAGCGTGTGGAAATGTTGCCAAAGAAGGTTCTAACGATTGAAGACGTATTCTCTAATCGTATCTTCAAATCAATCATTTACAAACTCAACAAATAATATAGGTTTAACATTTTTATGGGTTACGAACATGTAATATCTGTATTTGAAAAATCACTCCTATTATAATATATCAACGATTTGAAGCGAATGGTTTTAGAGAATATAACTCTTTCGGAGATTTTAATTTTAAAATCATCATTGAAAAGTCTACAGAATAATGAAATTTTAACACGAATAATTGTACAAATTAATTATCTATAAATTTAATATGTGATTATAATTATGTATTTTTGTATAAATAACAATTTTATATTTAAAAGAATCTAAAAGAGATTTCACTACATGTATTTTAAAAAAAAAACTTATTAATGTTTTTTTCATTAAGGATCTCATACCGTTTATTTTTTTAATTTTTACTTTACGTTTAATGTTATATATAATAAAGTTATGTCAATTAAAATTAACATCAGCAATTTATAGCAAATGTTTGTAGAGACTTTTAAAAAAAAAATTTCAAAAGAATCAATTACAAATCTAAAGAGTAATGAAAATTTTTTTTGTCAACAGCCTAGATACCTATAACGATTTGACAGACCAAACCGGAGGTACCGAGTTTACATAATTAACATCACAAGGATAGATCCGAGCACTTCTTGCTAGGTTATCTGCCTCCCTATTCTTCGCGCGTGGAATGTGTGATAGTGAAAAGAAACTAAACCGCTCCTTGATCTTCACGATTTCCCCCAAGTGTATAGCAAAAGCTGGTCATTCGGCGGGTTCAGACACCATCTGCACCAAATCCGAACGGTCTGTTGCAAAAGCGACCTCTGTCTTCTGATTCTCGATCATGCAAAGCATGACCCAAATTAGGGCTTCCATCTCTGCATGCAGAGGTGATAGACTCCGTCTGACATTTCGTGCTCCCATTATTCTGTCCTTAACCCTGTCCTGGAAATAATACCATCCCAATCCCGATGATAAATCTGTTGCCTTCCAAGAGGCATCAATAAAACACCACCAACCCTCATATATCATTGGTTGTGACATCAAAATGTTCCTATTGTCTTGTATCCCTAAATCTTGCTCATTCGTTTGAGCCTCTGTCCATAGTACCGCCTCAGTTTCTGCCTTTTTTTAAGTAATCCTTGGGTCCACATCGATATTCGAATAAACTTTCTCATTTCTTGCTTTCCATATATACCACGCAATCCATGGAAATTGAGAATTGTTAGAATTCTTTGGCAATCTCCAGAACAGATGGTCGAAATTTGAGAAAACCGAAGTCACTGGAAAAACGCCCAGAGGGGTCGGTATCTGAGACATAGCCCAAGTCTGCAGGGCAGGGGGGCATTCAAATAGAACATGGTTAATAGTTTCTTCCTCTGCTCCACATCGTGCGCATTGAGTGTCACATTTTATTCCACGTGTCCGTAATCTAGCCGACACGGATAGACATCCAGATATAGCCTGCCAAATAAAGTGTCTTAATTTCGGTGCACACTCTAATTTCCATGTGTGAGCCTGTAGAACTTTAACATTTGGGCCGCAAAAAACATTTCGCGGGCAGTCCTTGTATTGTTGCTCAATGTGATATCCCGATTTAACCGTATATCTACCAGATTAGGTAAAATGCCAGCCTAGTGAATCCTGGCTGTAGGTCCTGCTAATAGGTATTCCTCGAATAATTTCCACATCCGCAGGTTCAATAATTGCATTTAGCAAACCCATATTCCAAGTATTTGTCATTGGATCAATCAGGTGATTTACCATTAGATTCGGGTAATAGTTAAAACCCTTACAAGTGGCTGATCTCGGGCGGGAGTCTGGTATCCAGAGGTCATTCCATACCGAAATGGAACAGCCCGAACCAACTCTTTTGATTAGCCCTTTATTAACCAGAGATCTAGCCGATATTATACTCCGCCAGCCATAGGATGGCGAGTATGAGCGGATAGGTTCCAAAGGGGAAGAACTCCGAAAGTATCGTCCCTTAAAAACTCGTGCAAACAATGAATTTGGTTTATCTAATAAACGCCATAATTATTTTGCCAATAGTGCTGTGTTAAAATCCTCCACATTTCGGAATCCAATTCCTCCTTCTGTCTTGCCTCTGCACATCTTGTTCCATGCGATCCAATGCATTCCTCTATTGTGCCCATCAGAGGACCACCAATATCTCGCCGCTGCACTTGTCAACCTTGCCGTCGTAGACTTGGGTAAACGAAAGCATGACATTACAAAGGTAGGCATTGTCGATGCTACTGACTTAAGTAAGACTTCTTTTCCACCTTTTGATAATAACCGCGAGGTCCAGCCATTAATCCGATCATGCTGTCTTTCCGCTACAAAATTAAAGACTCTATTTTTGGCCCCATCTAGACTTTCCGGGATACCCAAATAGGATCCATTTCCTCCAATCTTCGAAATACCTAATAGCTGTTTTAACTCATTTTGTACCTCCTCAGAAACCGTATGGCCAAATACAAGAGATGATTTATCAAAATTAATTTGTTGGCCTGATGCTCTTTCATACGTAAACAATATAGATAGAATCTTCTGAATCTCTTCCTTTTTTGCTTTGCAAAAGAATAAACTATCATCCGCAAAAAGTAAATGTGTAATCGGTGGGCTCGCCCTTGCGATCTTTAGACCCGTCAGTAATTTTTCCTCTTCCGCTTTCCTTATATTCGAAATTAAGGCCTCCGTGCATAATATAAATAAATATGGTGATAAGGGATCCCCTTGACGTAATCCTCTGCCAGGAATGATTTGTCCCTTTGGTTGTCCATTCAAGAGGACTTTATATCGAACCGAAGTTATACATCTCATCATCCAAACTATCCATTTTTCCGCAAAGCCAAAACGTCTCAACAAATTCTCAATAGAGCTCCATTCAACTCTATCATAAGCTTTACTCATATTGGTCTTAATTGCAACAAATTTGTTTTTGCAGGACTTGTTGGTCCTCAGTCCGTGAAACATCTCCTGGGCAATTAGGATATTATCCGAAATCAACCGTCCTGCCACAAAGGCTGATTGTGTTTCCGATATCAGGTCCGGTAATAGCTTTTTCAACCTTTGACATAATACTTTGGAAATTATCTTATAGCCCACGTTACATAGGCTGATGGGGCGTAATTCTGTCATCCTGGTGGGTCTTTCCGTTTTTGGTATTAGACAAATATTTGTCATGTTCAATCTCTCATCGAAGCTCCCTGTGTCCAGAAAACCGTTAACTAATCCTACTATATCTGCCTTGATGATTTGCCACGAACGTTGGTAGAAAAGTGCAGTCATGCCGTCTGGTCCCGGAGCTTTTTCAGGATGCATCATGAAGAGAGCCTTCCGTACTTCCTCCTCAGTAGCCCTGGCCGTGAGCATCTCATTATTGGTTTCCGAAATTAAAGGTTTTATCTCTCCTAGTGCTTCCTCAAACTCTGTCGACGTAAAAATGTCGTCAAAATATTTTTCCGCCACTTGTTGTATCTCTTTTTCGGAAGTAACCCATGCACCTGCTGTGTTATGTAAGCCAATAATTCAGCGCTCTCCTTTGTTTTACTAATGCATGATAGAATTTTGTATTCTTGTCTCCATCCCTCGCCCAGTGGGTACGGCTTTTTTGTTGCCAGAATAATTCTTCATCCCTATATGCTTCCTTTAACTTTTTTGTGATCTCTAATAACTCCTCCTCCGTACTTGTATCATCCGTCTGGATCTCGTCTAAAGCCCGTTTTAACTCATTAATTTTTTCCTGTCCATATGGTAAGGAGGTTTTCCTCCATCTGGATATTTCCTTCCGGCAATTACGTATTTTATCTACAAACTTCACTTCTCGTCCATTACCTAAATCCCAACCTCTAAAAATAGATTCCATTAGGCCTTCTTGTCCTAACCATCTTTTATCAAATCGAAACTGTGATTTTTTCCTTGGAATTTTATCCACAATTGTAGCGACTATTGGTCTATGATCTGAACCAACCATTGCCAAATACACGACTACAGATTGGGGGAAAATCTCATGCCAATCTGCATTTGCTAGAGCCCGATCAAGTTTACACCTCACCACTTTTGAATTCCGTCGTCCTCTCCAAGACATAGTATTTCCCAAACATGGAAATTCCAAGAATCCACAGTCCCGAATCATGAGATTAAAGGATACAAAAGTTGAAGCATGCCTTAGAGTACCTCTTTCTTTTTCATGATTACCCGTTATTTCGTTTAAATCACCAATAATAAACCAAGGGTCATTCCGATTAAGGCTTATTCGTGTTAGTCTTTCCCAAACTTGGTCCCGCAATTTTGGAAGTGGATCTCCATAAATAAAAGATATAAAGACTTTTCTTCCGAGAACATTTGCTTCGATATCAATAATTCTATTATTCGAAAATAAAATAGTAACATCAAAAGCAGAATTATAAAATAAAGCAAGTCCACCACTTGCACCGCACGGCTCCACCGTGTACAATTTATTATAACCAAAATGAAATTGAAATTTTTGTAAAAACGAAAAATCTTGTTTGGTTTCAGAAGGAAACAAGAACTCAGGTCTGTGTCTCTTCCACACCTCCCGAAGATAACTTATTGTCCAATGACTCCCTACGCCTTGGCAATTCCAGCTGAGAATCCGCATAAACCAAATAGGTCATGGTTTTGGATCTATTATCGGGTCTGATGAACCCTTTGAGCCGCCTAAACCTGTTCCTTCCTTGTTCCGATCTGAAGTTTTTGCTGCCTGTTTTTTCCGAGGAGAGATTAGAGCTTGCACCAACCGTTTCTTTGTGGTGCCTACCAAAACCTGCGAGGAAGTCTTGGTGAGTTTCTTCTTTGTTCCCTGTTTTGTGACCCCCACCAAAGCTTCCGAGCCCATATCCTTTGTCTCTATCATAGTCTCCCGATCTGTGCCACCACCGTTTTCAGATTCCTTCAGCGTATCCATCATCCCCTCTTCTTTTTGATTCACCATTGCAGATATTTCAACAATCTCTCCATCCTCTTTTCCACACCTCTCATTCGCCTCCGTTAGTACACCTTGTGTCTCTTTCGGAGTAGCCGCTTCCATCATGTAACTCTCCTGCCCCTCTAACATCATACCCATCCCGATATCATCACCTGAAACCTCTTCACCCATGATTGCTTCCTCAAAACTCCCAAAGGAATCAGAAATTTCTGCCGACCAATTCATGTTCTCTGAATCCATTAAGTCTTTGTCCCGAGATCCATAACTAACAAAACCACCATCTTCAAAAGTCAAACTCTTCCTCGCCGAACTTTCCAAAGGCAAAATCGTAGAAGATATGCCCTTGACCGATTGTGTCATTTGCCTTTCTTCCTCTTTCCGATCTTTTTTTGTTTGATCCACCTTAATTTGATCCGAGTTTTTCTGAACTTTCTCCAGCTGCCGTGGTGTGTTCCGCATGACACCTGAGGTTGTCTGCTTCTGAGTCATTTCCTTGGGAGGGACATAGCTTGATGGTCGGGTATATCGCGAGGAGCCTTCACCGTATTTCCACTCCGACCTGCTTCGCTGCTGCCTTCCGTCTTCGTCCGCTACGCTTTGACGAGAGCTCTCCTTGCCTTTTCCTTTTTGTGGACCTTTTTGCAATCCAACAGAAACTCCATTTCTTCCCCTTTCCTTATTTCCTGCATTTCCATGTAACATCGCGGTTCTATAAGACGCAGGTCCATGGATATCTCCCTGGTCCTCACCATGATCCTCCGCAACCTTGCGATCCGCCCCATCTGACCGATTTGGGCACCGTTGGTGATCGTGACATAGGCTAAGAAAATTTCTGCAGTAACCAAAAAGCCTCTCATATCGTAAATAAACGATCGTTTCCTCCCCACCCTGAAACTCGACGACCGTTTCAAAGCACAGTGGCTTCTGCCCATCGATGACCACCTGAATCTTTCCGTCGTCTAGATTGACCGCTTTGACATCCCCAATGGCTTTTCCGATACACCGGAAAGTTTCATCCGCCCAGAAGTGTAAGGGAACGCCAATGACGCGTACCCAAAACTTAATCGCTTATGGGTAATTCGGATCCACCACAGGAGACCACCGCACCAACGAGAGCATCCAGTAATCAAAATGAAAAGGTTCCATTTTCATTACCTCAATTATATCTTCCTCCTTGTCAAAGTCGAATTGGAATCGACCTAAACCCAAATCTGCACCCGCCACCCTTTCCTCTACTTTCCAGATTCTGGGGAGCATGAACAGCAAGGCCTTCATATCTTGCATATGTGGGTTCATACACCGACCGATTAACGTCCGTGAATAGCTTTCAATCAAGTTTGTGTTGTCAAAGTGTGGGACCGTAATCTTCAACCGCTTAAGAGACTTCCGCATTCATCCCCAGCCCAGTTTGTTTAACCAAATTGCTCTGAGCCATCTGTTTTGTTCGTGTAGAAAGAAGCAAGGGCTGAGAAGAGAGATCCGAGAGAAAAAAGGGGTTTGTGTGTTTAGCATCAATGACACCATTCTTCTTTATATATTGCACCCGATTTGCGTAGTAGAGATTGTACATTGATTGAAAAATTTGATTTGCAATATGTAATCTCCAGAAATTAATCGCCGAGATCATCTCTACATACATGACTTGCTTCAAATACTTCTGTAATTGGCGAGTTTTAATCCTGCAAAATCTTGCCTGTTGCCTTTGTCTAAAACCGATCCAAACATAATAGCATACACCGCGGAAATCAGAATCCATTCGAATCCTTCCATCATTACACCAAATCTTGGAATGGAAGTCGACACCTAATCTTCCTCTTTTCCGAGATTTCTGAGAATCTCTCTGTCTGAACGTAGATTTTAATTCCCAGATCATATCCTCACTTTCCAATCCTTTTAGATATTTGACACCCTTATATGGAAGCACTCCAAATATTCTCGGAGCAATTTGAATTACAGTACCGATATAGTGATCCGCTGTATAGATCCTTGTATCTGCAATATCAGATCGAGATAATATGGATTTACTCTCCGTAATATTGCTTTCCGAAAAACTACCAAGTTTCGTCTTGACCGCATCTTGGATTGATTTGCTGGTATCCGCTACTCGTTTTCTTTGTTGACCCACTTTCCATCGTGAATCGGAAACCATCCCAATGCTTACCCAAGTTTCTTCGTCGCCATCGTGCAGAGAGAAAACTTCTATTTTTTTAAAACCAATTAAAGAGTAATGAAATTAAAAAATGAATAATTAAATTTAATTTTGTATGTAATTCTAGAGTATTATGTCCGCGCGCCGCAGGCAATGCTGATGGAGATACTGTTCAGAAAATAACTTTCACCATTACAGATCTCGAGTAAGCAATATTTTCTTTCATGATCACTATGACTTGGTAATAAAGTTTATAAATTTTATTGTTAAATCGAAGGGATGAAATTGAAATGTATCTCACACGGGGAATTTGCTGCTGACATCAAAGAAAGAAGCAAATGATTCACTGGTCCTCTTGCAGTTTGTGTTTTAACCAATTGGAGCGTAAAGAAAAAAGAAGGTATGGGTCATGAAGCATATGCCATTATTATCTTCATTAATTTCATAAATGTTTTATTTTGCATGTATAGTTCTTACTGATCGTTTTATGTATATAGATGAAATAACTATCCATGCTCATGATGCAATTGGTTTTTCATGTCTCCTCTTTGCTCCTACTACTGATGATGTCCTAATATTCAAGAGAAAATAAGTAATCCGACAATGATATTGAGAATATTTTATGTATACAATAACCTTTAAATACATATGTGTCTCTTAAGCTTTCAGAATTCGAAACAAGTTTAACATGATGGAGACGCAAGTTGGAACAAGCACAAAAAAGGACCCCTGAACAAGATCGTTTGATTATGATGGAGTTTTAATTTTTATCTCTTTAAATTCCATGCAACAAGACTTAATATCATTGTATAAGCTATATTTCTTTTTTCTCATGATAAGGCTTTCTATTTTATGTTATGTTGAATTTTTATATTTTATTTGATATTTCTTTTATTATATATTATCGTTTAGTATAGTACTTCTTATATTACGTTATATATATCCACTAAAATTATACAGTAGAGACATTTAATATAGTACTTCTTATATTACGTTATATATATATATCTATTTATAAATGTAGATGATTGTTAAATAACGTTAATACGTGGGCTATATGAATCAATTTAGAATAATAAATAATTTGTATTTGGTTATCGTTTAATATAGTAATTCTTATATTACATTATATATATCCACTAAAGTTATACAGTATAGACATTTAATATAGTACTTCTTATATTACGTTATATATATATATCTATTTATAACTGTAGACAATTGTTAAATAACGTTAATACATGGGTTATATGAATCAATTTAGAATAATAAATAATTCAATAAATTTTCGTAATTTATGAATATATAATATTTTAGTTCCAACTATTGAAAATGGAGAATGTCACGTATATATTAAACAAACTTTCTAAATCTGGTAAAAAAATACAAAATATGTTAAAAAAGAATTTGATATAATCAAATTATAACAAAATTTATATAGTAACTATGTCCGCGCGCCGCATCTCTAAGAAGTTTAGTTTAAGAATTTTAGTTTAAAGTATATTTTGTATCTATTATATCATTTTTATCATTTTATTTAATTATTGTTTATGTTGAAAACTAGTATGTAATAATTAAATATTTTTAAGAATAAATTTAAAGGAGCGTTCACCCTCAAACTTTTATTTTAAAGGTTAGTTCCCTTTAAAATAAGGATCTTGTTAGAGATGCTCTAAGGTATTTTCAAATATCTTAAAATCCATTTAACATGTGACCAGTGATCCCTTTCTTGTTCAGACATGAACCTACTAATAAAACCAAATTTAAATGCTAAATTTGGCCTTGGTTCCACCATTGCATACACCAAGCTACCTACAACACTAGACTACTGTATATCCCTCATGTGCTTAGCCTCTTCTTCTTTCTCATCCTTTGTTAGGCTTCTCCGTTAGAATGTGAAACAGTTGGAGTGTTGACTGCTTTGGATGCAAACAATCCAAAACGTTTTTAAAACATTTTCAAGATATTGTGCCTATGATAGGACTAAAAAATCTGTTCTTTATGTCACAGATTGTGTCCATCCCTAGAATAGTTGAAGTCGTTCCTAGATCCTTCATTCAAATTCATTTTTCAGCCTTTCCTTTGCCCCTTTAATTACGGTCATACTCCTAAATGCTATGAACATATTATCTATGTTATGTAAAAAAGATGTACATCTTCAATAGTTTGTGTGTCTTTCATGTAGACACATGGATCAAAACTGCTCTTAGTGCATTTCTACTATAGAACGTCTGAATTTTGGAACCTTATTCAAATGTAACATCAAATTCATGTGCACTATTGAAATATTTGATAAACATTATGGTTGTGTGCATTAAAACTTCTACACTTTAGGAGAATAATCAAGAAATGTAGTCTTAAAAGGTTAGATTGACTATCTAGCTGTCAATGTAAAAATCTAGAATTATTCTAGTAAGGAAGTTCGATGATATCATGGTTGAAATTAACTTATGACTCCAAAAAAAATTAAGTACATAGTAAAAAATATTAATCTTAGATTTTTTTCTAAAGTTGAAGAATATCTATGTACGTGTTTACAGTTTACTGACTAACCTCAATACGTTTCTCTCGACATGCTATCTCTTAAAAACCAAAAACAAATTCTGAAAAACCCAAACCTAAACCATGGGTTTTATATGGTTGTAGTTTTCATATAACTTATACACCGTAAACCAAAGAAAATCAAATCATGTCTAACCGAATTACGAACCTTTATTATGTAGTTAAAGCTTTTATAAAACGGAAAAACTGGAAAACATAAATAAATAAATAAACAAAAGCAAATACCTTAGAAACAAGAGTATTATCATATTATACGCCACTCTATAATTCAACTGTATATAAGTTCTTGTAGAACCACAAAAATGGACAGACAAAAAATTGCGATTGAACTGATTATATAAACGGTAATAAGCAATAATAAGTGATTAAAATATGAACTAAAGTGAGATAAACAGTTGCAGAGGAAACGATACGAAACGGAAAGAAAGGAAGAACAAGAGGATTGAAAAAACGCTTTAAGAAACCCGAAGAAACGCTGAGGCGAGATTTCTCTCTTTCCTTAACTCAAATGAATCGCCCGTTAGTGTGACGGTTCTGTACGATTCTTGAGTCCCAGGATACAACGCGCATGAGACCGTTTCGCAACACTCGAAAACGGAATCTATGAACTTAGAAAAATACTACGCTATACTCTCGGAACTTACTTAAACGAAAGAGAGACTGTTAGAAATTTTCTGTGTATTAAACTTGGTGAGAAATGAGGAAAGGGAAGGCTTTCTTATATAGCCAAGAGAAGAGCCCGTTTTGATTTTGAAGTCAAACAAAATCAATTATTCCGTGAGACTCGCTCAGAATAATTGACTGGAGTAAATGGTGATCGTGGGCGAAAAATCTGGAACGAATATTCTTTAATGGAAATATTTGAACAGATTTCTCCAAAAATAAATGTTTGTTTTGACCCAAACATTTATCTGAGTCTGGCCCAAAAAGATAGTTAATGGGCCGGAGGCCCTCTACCAAGAGCCAAGAGCCAAGAGCCAAGAACCAAGAACCAAGAACCAAGAGCCACGAGCCACGAGCCACGAGCCACGAGCCACGAGCCATGAGCCACGAGCCACGAGCCACGCGCCACGCGCCACGCGCCAGCGCCAGCGCCGAGCCGAGCCGAGAGAGCGAGCGAACGCGCGCGCGCGCGGGGACCATCTCTCCTTCCAACAGCTTTTAGACTCCCAAGAGTCTTCTCCCCTATATAAACAAGAAGATTTCTCCTTCTTTACCCGATGTGGGACAATTCCCCATCTCCTCATTTACATGTTGCCTTCTAAAAGGCTTTCTCTTTATGAGCCCAAGCCCATTTCGTTTTCACACATACAAAATTTTATAAAGCCCACATGCTTTATTAAAATTAGTCCAACAATCCCCCACATGAATAGAAATACCTCTAAACATATGCAGACTCGACAATGCAGACTCGATAGACTACTGACTACACATATCCTAAAACTAGACAGACTGACTTATCGAGAGTATAGACGAAATTAACTGTGTTTGAGTAAGTAGCATTTTTCAGCTTTGAACCACTCATTGTTAATATCTGTCGGGTTTACTTGGCCAGGAGGTGAACATGATGTCTTGAACCACCCAGATTTTTATGTAAACCGAGACAACAGGTATAACCTAGCTTCATTTCTCGTAGAACTATGTTCTCTATTGTGTTCATTTTGGCCGTGAACTTGCCTGG